TACTCAGGTTATATTTGCAACGTCCGCATTGTCCTTTTATAAGGTATAGTTGGGCGTGATCAAAGCACATAGCTGTAGTACTATATGCATCTAGAGTAGGCCCCTATTATATACTTAGTAATGAACCAATTACTTTTCCTCGTCTAACTTCTCTGGGAAACCAGTAAGCAACAGGAACAAGAATGGAAAAAAAAGAAGAAGCTCATGGTGCCATCATAGAACAGCCTTTACTTCTCATGTAATGATAATTGAGCCATGGCTTTAAGTATGAAGTGAAGTCTTTGTTTCACATTTTCGAGCTTCCTATAGCAAAGTGATTTCAGTTTCCATGCAGCAAAAAATAAGATCTCATACATCATGCCTCGACACTAGGAGGCAGCAACTACTCCTAATTGAGAATAGCTCTTAAAAAAATCCAACTTTACGACAGTCAAATCAATAAAATTTTCCATAGATTAGGAAATATTCAGAACCATCCATTCGTTCTGTTTAAAAGATTAGCTTCTAGCTTTAGATATCAAAGACTCCAAGTATAACAAATAAACCAGCTTACAAACCTTAACTCATATATAAGAGACTCGGTACGAGTCGAGTATGGAAGTCTCCTAGATAATAGTAGTCTCTGTTAATACAAGACTCAGCTAAATGCTTAAAACACCACAGTGGTCTCTGAGCAAAGAGAAACAGGAAAACAATGAAACTAAGACTGTCAGTTCTAAGAACAAGTGGGAAGTCAACACACCAGGAAAAAAAGAAAATTTGAAGCAGGGATAGGGCAGTAAGAGAGCTTTACAAACCTCAAGGAAGTTTAGAATGACTAGTGCAAGGGAATTAAATGTCCCAATCACTAAGTGAAAATCAGTAAACATGAAGTACAATGGTGCTGCCTTCTCAAAGCTCGATCCCTCAAGAATTTCCTTCGGTAGACCAACGCCATCTTCACCCTGCAGGTGTAACTTGCAGAATTAATTGCTCACCAAACATTGCTAAACAGAAAACATCAATTTTTTTAGTAAAGTGGACTTTGAACCCAGTGGCGGAGCCAGGATTTTCACTAAGGGAATTCAAAATGTAAGGGCGTAAATACAGAAAGAAGCCGAGGGGATTCAATCTATTATTTATATACGAACAATAATTGGCCTTGCATATACAGTTGTCCCCCTTAGCTCCACCTCTGCTTGAACCTAACTTAACCCACAAGCTGCACCATGAAGCGTAGGCGGATGCAATGATGCAATAATGGTTTAGTTATACCCAGTAATTATCCCACGAAGCATAAATATATGTAAAAAATTACTAAAATTTTGAACCAATAATTACAAAAAAATACAATAGATTCAGTGATAAGAAGTTAGGTTACTGTAACCAACTCCAGCTCAAATAAAGGGAGACATCTCCGTAATTGCTAGGCAGCTTTTGGAGTTTATAAGATAGAATGAACTCTCTCTCCCTGATTTCTCTGATTTCCCCCTCTAAATTGTTCAGACAATTTCTTGATTTATTGACTGAATTCACTTAAAATGTTGCTTTAAACCAAACTAAATACCATCAAGATAGCTTTCCATAATTTCAGAGGCCTGCATGTGGCTTATAATTGTGGAACAAACAAATTAAAATGAGCAGAAAAATTAAAAGGGACGTACAAGATCAACTAAAGCAGCAGCTTTCTGATAAGGTGATCCATGATCTGCGGTTAAACCTCGGACCACTACTCCTTTTATTCTGGTCGGCCAGCTGAGCTGACTCTTCCACCGTCATTCCAGCTTAATTAGTTCTCTTTGCTCTCTAGTTAGCCTCTGTGTATTATGAAGCCTAGCTAGCTATACAAGTTGAAACCTAGCTGCAGAATGGGAAGATGAGAGAAGAAAGGGTCACTTTCCTAAAAGACGATTGCATCAATATATTACTTAAAAAGAAGGATGCAAGATACAGAGCAACTGGTCAGCTTCGCACTAACTAAAATTTTCAAAATTCAACACTGTGCTAGGTGAACCAATCCATGACTTGTCCTTTTGTTTGTGTGCATATATATATTTGGTTCTCATGTTACCGTGTTAAATTTCTGCAACTCCAAGTTCTTTATTCAAGCAGCTCCAACGTGAGAAAGAGAATTGAGATGAGGCAGACTCCAGAGAGATGAAGAAAGGGAAGAAGAAGAAGATAATGCCACGTATCGTAGTGATACTATATTTTTAGATTAGACACGTAAGTATACCCACAAGAGTTAAGAGCTAAAATGACCAAAACGCCCTCAAACAAAATTTAATGACTTTTAAGCAGCCATGTCGAAACCTTTCTCTTATAATATACTAGGTTGTGCAGCCCGTGCTGGCACGGGCTCAACGTTATTTAACTCTGCGTGCTATGTAATTTTAAATATAATAAAAGTTAATGATGTAAGTATGGAATCTAGTAGATAATATTTTATGCTAAGTGGTACACACTTAATTTACATATATTTTGAACAAAATATACATTATTTGCATTCACGAGAGCATCACATTAAGGGATGCCTAAAGTGCCACAACAGTTACAACATGTATGATACAACTATTTACATATGCGGTCTTTGGTCTTCTTTCTGGTCCTTTTCCTATTAGTTCTTCGCCAAAAATATCTGCAAACAAATAAATGTGTTATAAATTAAAAGGTTACAACGAAGATTAAAGAGTCCGGAACCAAAATGTGGTTCTTTTGGACTCAAAGTACACAAATAGGTGGTAAAAAAAGTTACATTTTTATGTATAGCGCCACAATACCTGGCACTATACATTAACGGTAACAACACCGTTAATGTATAACGCCAGGTATTGTGGCGCTATACTGTAAAAGCTGACACGACACAGGTATAGCGCCACAATACCTGGCGCTATACATACGTTTTTTAAATTCCTTCCGTCTTCTTCATCGTTTCTTCCTCCATTTTTTTAACCTCTCCTCTCTTCTTGGTCCCCCACCCCATACCCGCTTCTGCCCTCCTTTTAAAAAAAAAAAATTGGGTCCCCCCGACACATAAAACTTGAAGAACGTAGGTTCCACATTCGAGTAGAGCTTCGTGTTATTGTTGATTCACACATCCGGAGTCAAAATTTCAATCTTTTTGCTTTCCAAAAATTCTAAATCGAGGTATTTCGATTTATTTTAAGTTGAAACATTTATAATAATGCATATTATTTGATTTGTATGTGTTCTATCTCGGTTTGTGTTTTTTTTCGAAACTAGCATGTTAAATTTATCCGGATTTAATATTAGTGTTTTCTAAAAAAATATAAATTTGTAAAATAATTTTTTTTGTTAATATCCTGATTTATATATATGTGTTTTCATGCCGTTTTGTGTTTTATTTGCAATTAAATTTATTTGTTGTTTATGTTTAGTTTAGATTATTTTTTAGCGTAGTAAAATCTAGACCTTTTTAGCGTAGTAAAACGTAGACCCTTTTAGCGTAGTAAAATTTAGAGCCTTGTAGCGTAATAATGTGTAGTATTTTAGCTTAGAATTCCTTTTGTTTAAGATCTTATACTGGTTGTTGAAAATGCAAACTTTGTACAATTAATTCAATAATTGTATCAACGCAAATAATTAATAATTTGTACAATTAAGTTATTAAAAATATGAATTTAAACTATAAAAAGACACATAATTATTAANACTTGAATGAAACGACACTTCAGACTCGTACACTCTTCGTCTAGGGGGGTCTCTCTTCAAATCAGGTCCTTCCTCCTCATCCTACTCATCATCATCCTCAGGAAAAAAGAGTGTCTTGTCTCCGGATTCATCGGCATTGTTATCGTAATCACTGTTCTGTTCCTCACTCTGTGCATCTGTCAGATCCCGATGTAATACATCGTTTTCAGTCAATTGAGTGAGTATGGGTGGTTCAACTTGCTCGTTTTCACTGCACAACCAACAAAAATATAAGCTACTAAATTAATAAATGCTTTCCATATGGCTATATCACTTCACTTACAAGTCGTAATGTGATGAAATTCCATGATGGACGTTTGCAATTAGGTGATGACTATCGGATGGGCCACTTGTAAAATTCATATCCGACCGATATCCCCTATTAAATATATGAGCGTTAATACAAATTCAATACGCCAAAAATATACATAATTAACACAAATGAAAATTGAAGTTTACCACTCGTCTTGTGAATTATGGAAAGCAGGGTATAAATTATTTTTTCGCTGCTCATTCGCTGGCGGTGATAAGTTTAAATCAAGGAAAACTCTTTCATCCGGAACCTGTCCGGCAAAAACTGCTCCAGAATAACCACCCGATGACTGGGGGTTATCTCTACTACGCACAACCTCGTTTTTTGGAACGACTTCAACCTTCACGTACATCTCCAACATTGTGATTACAAGAAATTTCCGGCATTCGTCCGGAGTCCTCAGAAAATCACTTAAAATTTCATCATCGTCGATGTTAAACTCCGAGTAAAAAGCAACCCCTTGTGGAGTGACTAAATACGGATATCTTCCAGTTACTTTAAGTATCATTGAACGTTTCCTCACACTCATTTTTTTGCATAACAACGATATCAATTTATCGTACTCTATTGTAAGTGGCAATTTAACATGACACTGAGAAGGTAAACTGTAGCCCACGGAGTTATTCTCCATCACAACCTCGCCCCCCAATATAATGATACTCTTATTCTACGCTCTTCAGACATAATAAAAAAATGTTGGAGAATTTAACAACAATAAACGTTTCAACAAGAGTTAAAATTTTTTTTGAATGAATTTCTATACAATCCTAACCTCTTTATATAGGAAATGGCTAGCCGGGAATTTTTTTTATATATATATAGCGCCCAAAAAGTTGGCACTATATGCTTTTGAATTATTGAAGTCAGGAATTGTTGGTGGGGCCAGGAAAAAGGAGTATAGCGCCAAAATACCAGGCGCTATATATAAAACCTATGTATAGCGCCAGGTATTGTAGCGCTATACCTGGGCGTGTCAGCTTTTTTAGTATAGCGCCACAATACTTGGCGCTATACAGTAACGACACAGTTAACGTTACTGTATAGCGCCAAGTATTGTGGCGCTATACATAAAAATGTTACCTTTTTTTTCCTACCTATTTATGTATTTTGAGTCCAAAAGAACCACAATTGGATTCCGGACCCAAGATTACATGCTTGTAGAAGCGAACAATTGAAATACACAACATGGTAAAATTTCAGGTAAGCAACATAAAAAAGTACATGTTTAATAGTCGCAACATATATGAAACAGAGAATAATTGAAACAGAAAAGCAGTCACGATAAACTTTGTAGCTTAAACATGTAAATTTATGCCAAGAAAGACCAATTTAAATCATTGGTGATTTAAGCGTGGCCACAAAAGCAAAAGAAAACAGAACATCAAAACAAATCTGACATGTTGAAGTGTTTTTGAACCGACGAAAGCCAAAAAAGAGTGAAAGACAGCAAATGCAATGTTCTGTAAAGAACATCACTAATGTAATTCGGTTAAGCTTGCTTTAACAAAACCAAGTAGGCTATGTAAAGGTTAGCACATAGCCAATCAGACTATGTCTTTGGTTCCATTCCTTATGTTCTGATGTGAAATATGGACTAAGAAGGCCTTTCTGCATATAGCCAAGATTGTTCGTTTTGCCCCTATAGACTTGGAGGAACTAAGAAAGCCTTTTGCACAAAATTTGGTTCCAACATATTTATAGATTTTCTATTCAATTGGCATCCAAAGTTAAATTTTTTATTTTTTTATACAAGCATCCAAAGTTCATTTCGCCAACAAACAGAAGACTTATTGGAGAAAGACTTTACCATATCTCTAAACTTTCTACCTTTCTTGGATATAGGATTAATGCTATTAGATAAAAGTTATTTTTTGGTATTTGAATTAATTTTAAAATGTGCAGTAAAGAAGTGGAGGAGTAAAAAGAAAATTTCATCCAGTGTCTTGCACCAAAAATGATGGTTAACGTGGTATACTTCTTTGATCATGTGTACTTTTGATTCTTAATGCCAAGGAAAAAATTCTGCCGTGATATTTGTTTGTCTTTCAAAAAGCTGGTTGGTTTTAATACCTAAGATAGCTATGTCACCCAATGTACAGAAGTAAGTATTTAGTTAAGTTGCAAAAAGCAATTGGAATTTAGATTTTTCATCAAATACGCTAACCTCATGTCGCCGCAACATTTTCCAAGTAGAGGAGCATCCAAAAAGCAGGCGCAAAAGTGAATGTAACTGCATTCAAAAAGAGTAACCAATACAGGATGTTAGGATAATTTGTATAGTAAATTTTACCCAAGAAGACAACAACACACATGTTCCAGCGATAAAATTTGTTCGAGATGCATGTATGGAGATCGGGGAGGCATTTGTGGAATCCCTCCCAAAAATCACCTGAAAGAAAGAAGCAAAACAATAGACATAATGGTAGCAACCTTCATGAATCTTCAAAGTAAAGGTGTCAAGATGGAAGAAAACAGGACACTTTTAAATGGTAGCAGCCTTCATGAATCTTTAACGGATTCAATTTGAAAAAAGCAAAAAATGCAAAGTAATTTAAGAGAGTAAAACATAAGGGAGTATGTCAAATATACTATCAGAACCTTTTATGCGTATTTAACTCAATTCATTATGTAAGATCAATAGTTTTAGTGAATTTAACAATGTTTGGACAACGACAGATATAACTCATTCCTTCTTATAACAAGATCTGCAAATAGGTTAAATAATCTATTGGAATTGCTCAAACTAAATCTTGATAGATGAAAATAAAAAAATTTATATGAAAAAGAGTAGAAAGGAGTAATTTTGTTTCCTTTTTTAACTTCTTGTGTTGAATACAAAAAATTATGCCAGTATACTTAATGCATGCAAGTGTAATATATTATGAAAGTTTTCTCTTCTAAAAGCAGGATTGAGGATTGTAGCACAAGAATCTTCTATTCCACTCGGCCTTCTTCTTCCCGATGAGTCAATCTCAATATCGGCTCATGGTATCCATAGAAACCACCACATAAAGGTCATTTTGTTTTCTTTCTTTTCTTAACATCTATACACAATAGCTAAAGACAAAGAAATAACATTAATTACTTCTTTTAAAAATCCAGCAAATTGAGTCATTTTCTCCCATTAAAACAGCTCTTCAATAATCCAAAATCACCCC